CAACCACATGGTGGCTCACAACCATCTGTAATGAGGTCTGGTGCCCTCTTTCTGGCCTGTAGGCATACACACAGACAGAACATTGTATACGTAATCAATAAATAAATATTTTTTAAAAAAAGAGTTTATATATAAGTAACCACATGTCTCTGCGTTTCATAATTTTCTTTTTTTTCAGCGCAGAATTCTAGCATGTTGGGGAAGCAACTCACCATTGAGACACGCACCCAGCCTTTATGTTATTTTAGATGCTAGTCAGGCAAGTATGGCTTCAAGAGGAGAGAGGACAAAACAAAGAGTACACAAAATTTGGGGCCAGCAAGATGGCTCAGTGGTTAAAGGTGCTTGTGGCCAAGCCTGATAACCTGAGTTTGACCCTTGGGAACCACACAATTGAAGAACAGAACCTGTTTCTGCAAGTTGTCCTTAGATTTCCAGACATGCACATGCACCACTGTCCCTTCACGTATTTATACAGACACAGACTCTGTCTCTCTGTATCTGTCTGTCTTTCTGTTTGTCTATCTCTCTGTCTCTCTCTCTTACACACACAAACACACACACACAAAGGGAGAAGCAATATAAAACAAAGTTTATTTTACAGAAAATAGCAGATTATGACATTTTTTTTTGTTTATGATGATGTGAAAACCATCCCCATCCAATAGAAACTAATTCATAATTTGAATTTTGGTCCTTTCTTGAGTTAGCAGTATGCGGCACAGTCCCAGCTTGCAATGCAAGGCAGCACAAGAGAAACACGACTCCCTGCCAGCCTCATAATCACCAGGGTAAAGGGTAGGCAGGTGCCAAGCCGGGATGTCCATTGGCTGGGTGGACTAAATACATTTTTGTTGTTGTTGTTTTTTGTTTTTCGAGACAGGGTTTCTCTGTGGCTTTGGAGCCTGTCCTGGAACTAGCTCTGTAGACCAGGCTGGTCTCGACTTGTGCAGCTTTAACCCCATCCTAAGCGAAGGCACATCTATACTCAGATGTCCTGGACACAGGAGGTTTGCTGTTCCACAAAAGACCGTAGGGAAAGGCCCAGAACAACCAGGAAGCAGAATGCAGAAGTGAAGGTAAGGTGAGTCTGAAGATAAGATAAAGCCTTTGTTGGGGCTTCTGAGAAAAGGCAGGTAGAGCTGGTGAGCAGCACAGGGTTGCCTGGTTGCAATCGTTTCCAAGACTTCAGGAAATAGCGGTTCTTCCTACTTGCCTGTCCCATCACTCTGGGACCTCTTCTTCTGGGGTATTGAGACCAGATGGAGTCTATATGGCTCTCGACTGTTAGTTTGTACATGGAAGACATTGTGTTAGTCAGCTTTCCATACTGTGTCAAGATACTGAGGTCAACACCCAAAATGAGGAAAGTTTGCTTGCATGCCTAACAAAATCACACTGCAAATAGCTTTCTCTAAGTCTGATCATTTTGATAAGTGCTCTGTCATTTTCCAATCGATACTTTTTCTTGTGGACAGGCACTGTTTGGAAGAAGTGTGAGAGTTTTCAACTTCAACATCTTGATTTTACTTTTTTATTTCTTTGGCTAGAAAATCCCTTTGTTGTCTGTATTATTCTGCTTGAATTACCACAGTAAAATACCGTAGACTGGGGCCTTCAACAATAGAGATTTGTATTTTCACAGCAGCTCATGGTTGGCTTCTGGTAAGCTGCCCTCTGTGGCTGTGGAAAGATCTCCTTTCCCATGGTGCCCTCTCATGCCTTTCCTCCACGTACCTGAAAGCCTGGGAGAGATCTCTTACAGCTCCATTGAACCGTATACTGATGGTTCCACTTCTACATACAGTTTATCTGAGGCATGCACCTTCAACACAATATAAATTGCGGAGGGTACAGCAGAGCTCAAAGCAGTGTACAAGGAATACTATAAATATAGAGGTTTTTTTTCCCTATAGCTTCAAATTTTTGAATTAACATTCCATGTGATACTTTACACCTTGTCTTGAATATCTTAGAACTCGTGTGGACCAAATATGCCTATGCAAATATATGAGAATCAGTATGGGATGAAACATGTTTGTTTTGGATTATTCACTTCAGTGGTTTGTTTGAAAAGCATGTGTATCTTTTTGACACACTCCAGATGTCCAATCAGCACCTGCTGGCAGACACCAGAGTCACCGCAAATGTTTGCTACGATTTGCATGTTGAACATCTCCAGTGTTTGCAAGTGGTTTACCCCTAAAAGATGCTCCTTCATAGATGCCTTTGTTCAGTAAAGGCTTTCTGTGAGTCAGTGAGTATATTTTAAGATAAGTGGCAGAGTCTGTGGCATGGAAAGACCAGGTGCAATTCTTGAACTAAAATTTTACATATCATAATAAATATAAGTTTCTGTTTCTTGCTGACGTAAGGAAGGAGAAAAGATACTGCGATGAAGGCCACGTCACAATTCCCATTCTGTTATGAGTGGAATTTTTTTGGAAAACACATTATTTAAAGACACAAATAATTCCTTCTCAGCCACTCTCACCCAAAAATATTCTTTCAAAAATAACATTTGTATTACTTTTTTGAGAATTTCATACAATGTATTTGTGAGTTTCTGCATTAGCATTACAAATACAAAGCTGTCCATTGTACAAAGCAACTCCTCTGATGAGATCTGAGAGTGGCACTGATCAAAACTGGTCCTTAAAATTTCACTCATTTAAAATTTTTGACTCAGTTAAATTAAGTCAATGTTTAAAACAATTTTAAAGATTTAGAAAATAATCAAAGAAAAACAAATTAACATATTTGAGATACACTGTAAGCCTTCATTGGCTATTAGTTATCTTGTAACCTCTAACAGGGTAAAACTAATGATATACATAATGAAAAACATCTAAAATACTTATTGCCATATTGCTATCCTTTTGGAAAGAAATAGAAATTTTCATTCATTTACTTTCTGTCTCACATGATCCCCAAAGAGCTCATTTTAGAAGAAGTAACTTATCAACCCAAATCTCATTGTCTATGGACCCACAGACAGACAGGCTTAGCTGCCCTTGGGGCCCTTAGCAGCTAAGTGTTTCTTAATGATTCCCAGATCTAGTTTCTCCATTCATATAATTAGGATAGCACCAATGTACTGTGCTTTTCTCCTGGATAATTACAAGCTAACCTACCTGAGACGATGAGAACAGATCCCAGCATGCAGAAACTCAGCACATGGAACCGATTCATTATTTTTTATTTATTTATTTTTCTTTTGGTTTTTCGAGACAGGGTTTCTCTGTGGCTTTTGGAGCCTGTCCTGGAACTAGCTCTGTAGACCAGGCTGGTCTCGAACTCACAGAGTACTTTTACGATTCATTATTATTATTAAGTAACCATGCTATCACACTTTTTAAATTGCCAACTTAATTTGAAATAGTTAACTTATCTGTAGAAATGAATCTAAAAAAGTCTTAAAGAGGTAAATTTCCAACCTTGACTATTTATGTACTTATGTAGTTTTGAGACAAGGTTTCAATGTAGACCTGGCTGGTCTGGAATTCACAAGAGCTCCACCTGTCTCTTGCCTCCCAAGTGCTGATATTAAAGGAGTGCTCCATCACACCTGCCTGAATCTGTAGAAAATTGTGTTTTGGTTGCTAAATAATTTTTTAAAAAATAATTTGTTTTTTGAGATTATAATATAATTACACCATTTTCCCTTTCCATTTTCTCCCTCCCAACTTTCCCACACATCCCTCCAGGCCCTCTTTCAAAATTTCAAATTCATGGCCTTTCTCTTCATTGTTTAGGCATACATACACATAAAGAAAACCTTCTCAGTCCATATGTTATTTGTATGTTCCTTTTTAGGGATAACCATGTAATATTGAATAACCAGTTGGTGTCCTCTTCCCTGGGTAAGACTGTTTCTCCCACTCTCTGCCTTCTTTAGTTCCCTATAGATCTTTGTGTGTGGTTGAGGACCCCACGTGCTTTTCCCATTAACATCAGCAAATCTATTGTATCATCCTTGTTCGGTTCGTGTGTAAGCATGTTGATTATAATTACTTTTTTCTATAAAAGAGCTTTCTATGGGTTAGATATGGAATAGAAAAGGGTGAAATGATGTTGATTGCCTTGGCGGGTTACTTAGTCTAGGGTTAGTAACCCGCCTGGCAGTTCAGTTATTCCAGGGTCACGGAGAAGCACTATCTGGAAGATAAATGGACTAAGAAAGAGGAAGGAGGCTAAGCGGGGTTCTTGTCAAAGCCTCAGTTTATTAGAGACGGGGTACAGCTTATATAGGGTAAGGAGTTGGGGGATGGGCACAGGGGCCTGGGCTCTTGCCGCGTGGTTCACGTTGGTCACATGGTCCGTGTTGGTCACGTAGCCAGGAGGTTACCTTCGGTCAGGTCACCTAGGCCAGGAAGTCACAAGTTGACACACCTAGTTCTTTAGATAGTTTGGAATGTGGGATGGGTTCTGCTAACAGATAGCTCTCCATTAACAGCCAATTTGGGTGTGGGGTAGGCTCTGTCAATAGAATGATTCCTAACACAATTAGGGGTGTGGGGTTCTCTGCAGACTTTCCAGGGTGATGGTTCCTGTAATGATTTTAGGAGGAAATTGGCTCCTGACAAAATGATAAAGTCTTCTAATTGACCTTTGTCCCCCTGTAATGTTTATCCATTCTAGGACTTGAGAATTTGTTCTTAGATGTACCAAAGACTATGAGACAACCTTTGCTGCTACAAGAAAATAAACAGTTTCTTAGGAAGCACGACTTCAGCATACAAGGGTTTATAGGTTTATGTCCAGCGCTATGATTTAGAAAGAAAGGGGGAATAGGCCTTTCCCGAGTCAGAAGTTTTTCTGAAGTCATTATAGAATAACAATTACGACTCCCCACTTCTTATTTTTATTGCTGGCTCGACTCTGCAATGCTTACACTAGGAGGATATTATTCTACAAATAAGGGCCCAGCATGACATTTATGAGAAAGCCTGGGTCCTCCTGTGCAAAGCTGATTGGTGCTCAGCCATTGGGCTCTAGGATGCTGCAGATAAAGGCTCCTTACTGCCCTGGGCTGGACAGATGCAGGGCAGGGGATCATCTCTGCCTCTGGACCCTGGGAAAGTGATCACTGCCTCTCTGAACAACACACATCTGTGGCCTGCAAAGAGGAGCCAGGCCTCGAAGATGAAACATCTGCCTCCCCAGTTCCCTTCCGTCCTGGTCATCTACTGCATCTGTATGCTGAAGATTCCCTCCTCAGGTAAGGGGACTGACACCATATCTGCCTGACCTGAGTTCTATACAAGACTGGGATATTTACCCTGCAGGGTCGTTCTCACAAGAGTTGAGCTTCCTTCTCCCACCTATTCTTACATCTACTCTCTTGTTTTCAGGCGTGGCACTTGTGTCCAGCCAGTGTGAGGGACACAGTGAGATGCCATAGCCTTTTACACAGAGACTTTCTCCAAAGATACCGGGATGAAATAGCCCTTGCCCCAGGAGTGTCTTGAGTCTGTGGTGGTGAAATTGAAGGGTATGGTCTCCATGCGCACTGGGGTCTGTTTCAGAGATACTGAGCTGAGAACACAGGGAAGAAAGTTAGGTTTACAGTCCCTCAGACTGACAGCTGGTGGGCAGCTGGAGCGAGCAGAGAGCAACTCTACAGAGGAAAGGAATTATATCCAAGTGGGAGGGAGTAGGTTCTCAGAGCTCAGGGGAACCAGAAGGCAAGCGTCCTCCAGTTCCTTGGGCGCTGTCCGCAGTGCTGACCGGGTGCTGCCCCTTTTCAATTTCTGAGCAGTTTGTAGGGAGCCCGAAGTGGGGAGAAGGTTTGAAGTCCTCAGTCATGATCAGATCACCATCTCCAGGCAGTTTGTCATAGAGTGCAGGAAAGTGGGCCATTGAGGAAAGTCTATGATTTGAACAAAGGCGGATTACAAAAATTTGAGCTTTTCCTTTAGAATTTTGATTTAGAGAACCTTGAAATATAGTGTGCTTGTTTTGTCCTAAAGAGTAATTGCAACATCAGGGCTTTGTGAGAAATTGTATCATTTTAAAATCTCCAGAGCATCAAGTCTCCTCTGTGGTTTTCCAGCCAGGCTTCTAGGTTCTTCTCTGCTGCTTTGTCTAACCTGCAGCTCACAGCCAGCCCAGGACAAGCAGCTGCTGTCCCTCTGGCCTCCAACAGAATCTTGTTCATAGTTTGCTGTTGAGATTTCATGTTTATATCCATCCCCTATTTTTCATATTATTTTGTTTTCTGAGGGTAGAGTCCTGTGGTCTCCATTTTTATATTAGCACAGACCTCCCAATAAGATCTTGTAGGACTGGTTTGCAGTACTTTGCATTACTAAATGAACATAATTATCAAAAATATCTTTCCATTAACCTGTGCCCTGATCACATCTGACTTCCAATCAGGGATTTTTGTTAAGATCTATCAGAGTATTCAATATTAGATGAAGATTTTTTGCTTGTGACGGTCGTCAAAATCATTGAAGGGACTTAACATATGTTTCCCAATTTCAGTCTTGCTAGAGAAAACTACATTAACTCTACATTACCTTCTACCATTTCAAATCAGGGTATTACTCTTCAAGGCTTGAACGCCATTGTTGGAATATGCAGGAATATTGCCTTAGCTTTCTTTTGCTTCAGACTGCAGAGAACAAATGACCCACAGTGTAAATACATATGTGTACATACATGTATGTGTGTGTATGTATGTGTGTGTATGTGTGCATGCATGATTGCATGTACGTATATTTGTTGTTGCTAGAATAAGCTTCTCTTGAGTCATACACCCCTTGTTCCACACTGTAAGGTATACAAGTTCAGGACATTATATGTATTTATTTAATCTTATTTTGTTAGTGCTGGCCTACCCTTATGGATGCTTTCAGCTGCATAAACCTCTGAGTGTAATAAATGAAAAGATGTGTTTGTGTAAGTCAGAAGGGGGCTGGAAGGATTCAATTATATGCTAGCAGCAATTCTCCCCAGAACACCCCTGGAGGGGCTGGTAGAGTGGAGACGGGCACCTGCATGTCTTAAAAGTCCTGATTAGATGCACACACTTTGTTGATATTACTTTCTGGTATTTGATCCTCACTAATTCTACCAAAATATAAACTTATTTGCTCCCTAAGTATTTTCTCTTTCTTTATTGATTTGCTAGCAGATAGACTAGCAATTCCCATTACATCAAACACATGGAGTTTTAAAGCTGTCTTGTTGCACATCTTGGATTTGATAGTATTAGGTAGAGGTGTTTTATCTTTTTGGTTCCTCTTAACTGTACCTTCTGTTGCCTTTTTAACTTGCTTTCTCAATGACTTCCTTTTTGCTCAGCTCTGTGATGGATTCTAGTAAGACCTCTGTATAATTTTTATGGCATGGGTGCCGAAGCACATGCTATGATCTCTTTCTGGAATTGATGCTTTGATTGACTTTTGTTGTAGGAGTTTCTCAACCTTTAGCCGATTCTCCAGATGGCTTGGATATTGCGGAGCTTGAGGTATGCTATTATGCAGCATTTTGAGATTTGCTTTTAGTCCCAGCCTTGAAAATATCATGTGGTTAATGTTCATTTAAAACTATTTTAAGATCAGATATTTGGCTGCGGCAGAAACTCACTGCGATTGCTGCATGGCCTCATTTAAGACATCCTGAGAGTTGAACTGAAATTCCCTGCACTGAGTGAGGAGATAATTCAAGGTTCACAAATGGAATGATTTTAGAATTTTAAACATGTTGTAAGAGAATTCTACTGGCTAAAGAGTTTTATTTTATTTTATTTTGTATTTGATTTCTTTTTCCTCATTCTGTCTTTTAGCAACTGGTATACTTTCTGAACCAGTGGGAGACACTTTATAACCAACCTAAGGTAAAACTAATACATATACTAGCTCTTATAGTTATATCAGTATGTAAGTTTACATCATAACTTATGTTTAATATATGGTTGTTGCTGTACACTAGAGATTGTTGCATATATGTGTATGTGTGTTTATAAAAATACAATTTTAGGAAAAATTAAGTTTCTTTCTTTGATAGAAATTACCATAAAATATTAGTACTTCATATATATTAATATTATGTTATCTATATCATAAAATTAGTTATATACTATGATGTATGTTATAAATTGATGCATTATGGTGTAACAGCTCTTAACACAGTAGATCTCATGTAAAGGACCATACCAACCGTAACTATAGTAACCACAACGAAAGTAATTCAGTGGCTACAAAGTCAATGCTGGTTAATTGAAACTTTGAAAGATTGGTCTTAGGACCAAGTTCACAACTCTCAGCGTAGCCCATCAGTTTTCACCTTGAGTAACATTTCTTCTTCTCTACTCACTTCCTAGCCCACAACATCACATAGTCCAGTCACATCCAACATCTCACTATAGCCCAAACACACCAAACCCTTTAACTCTTGATCAGCCTTCTCTTTAGTCAGTAATGTCTGCCTTCCTGGGAGCCTGTAGTTACAGCCCAGGCTCTCAAACGGAGCTGTCTCTGCACCTTAGCTGGCTTGTCTGTTGCATGCATGCAATTGCTCTTACAAGTCCAGTTACCCTAAGGAACGAGAGCTCTAACTTTCATAAAGTGCTTTGGACAAGCACCCACAGCATAGTAAAAGAGAGCCATTAGCCACCTCTTGATGCAGCTACTCCTCATTCAAAATCCAAGTGTCACTTTCTCTCTCAAACATCATAAAGATATAGTAGGCACATCTTGCTTTCAATTTGCCACTATGCACATGTTTGGAGATGATTATATATATAACCACCTTTCTTTAGCTCTGGTGTCTGGACGAAACCTCAAAGGGAGAACTCGGAGTCCCCCAACTCCCACTACTTCCCTACCTTGCAGAACAGTGGCTTTCACGCTTTTATATGAAGGCTGTGGTGTCTCTGGCATAAGCAGGGGCAGTCAGGTGTAGCTGTCCTAGGGCCAGCTGCAGCATTCATTTGAATTGAGGGATTTCCAGGTGCAAGGACCTAGCTGGACTGCGTTTTTTTTTTTGTTGTTGTTTTTACCATTTTCATTTCTCCTGAGTCTACCACACCCGTTATTTCTGCTCACAGATGAAAAAATAGTCATTCAGTGAACAAAGATGCCAACACTTTGAAATTATGACTAGAGAGCTATTGCCTCTTCCTGGCTTAGTTGCTGCCCCCAACTGTCCAGTGTTGGGATGAATTGCTGGAGTTCCTAATGTGTTACCGTTCTGTTCTTCATAAGCCTGGTCTTTGCAGGAAACTTCTGTGTTCAAGCAAGTCGGGAAGTGGTTGTATTCTACACCCAATGTCATATGCAGAAACTCTTCAAGCTCAGCTTTTCTCTTTATCCCATGAGATCAGAAGGAATTTAGAGAGGAAAAAGCTAATAGGTTCTGTGACCAGAGACCCATTTATTCCTTAATTCAGGAGAGATGCTGGAGAAGAGGGCACTGCCAGGAACAAGGGATGGAGTGGCGACCCACACAAAACTACCTGCCCTCATAACGTGTGCGTTATAGTTGGGGGAATGAGTGAAATGCTACCTGAATAAAGTTGATACATGTTTTTCTATGAAAAGAAAGGAAGAAAGGAAGAATGATACACATGAAATCTAGAGAAGTCTGATTGGCAGCTGGAAAAGAGTTGAATAAACTATTGATTTTTATGAACAGGGGAAAGACTTTCCTCCCTAAGATTAAAAAGATAAGAAGAGATGACTTGTAAAAGGCAACTTTATCTTAAAAATCTGTGTCAAATCAGCTACAGTCTTTTTTCTTTTTTTTCTTTCTTTTTTCTTTATTATTGTTTTTGAGACTGGATTTCTCTGTGTATCTATACAGCCCTGGCTACTCACTCTGTAGACCAGGCTGACCTTGAACTCACAGAGATTCACCTGCTTCTGCCCCTGAGCACTGGGCTTAAAGGAGTGTGCCACCACTGCCCAGCTGTCAACTACGTCTTGACTGATTCATAATATTTGAGTAAATCCAGTCAGGCTCATAGTGTGACTTACACTGAAAACATCGTCAGATACCCGCTCCAGTAAAACTCCAGGTAACTTTCTTCTCAATTCTCTTTCCAGGAAAACCAGGATGTGTACAAAAGGGTGAGTGCCTTGTGGTGCCCGACACGTACTTTGCACCATGTTTGGAGCAAGTGACACTCGTGCTAACATCCCTCTCTTATTTATTCAGTTTTTATTTCACTACTCCAGAACTCAGAAGCCAACACATCCCATTAACTCTGAGGTCAGTATTTTATTATACTTTCTGTAAAAACGATGCTCTTCTGCATACCTTTTATGCCTTCTGAATTTATATGCACACACTGCCAAGCTTTAGGCAGGGAACTCCTAGATACCCATGCATGATAGCTCCCTCCTCGTCTTCCCGCTCCCTGCCCAGGATGGGGAGAATTGTCACTTTCTCATCAGGGGTGGGGATGATGGGTAACTGACAGATCTGAAATATTAGAGAAGAAGAAACGGCAGAAAAGGGAGATTAAGGAAGAAGAGTACTCTTGCAATCGTGTACTTAAACACAGTCACAAGGAGAGCCTGGTAAGTGCTACACCCATTGCTTCTTAGTGCTTCCCCTCTTTATATTCTGAAGATTACTGTGGGATGCGTACAGTGCTGCCCATCCCGCCCCACCCCCATGATCCACACAGGCCATCTTCTGTGGCTGTTAGGGTGTAGATGCCCAATGGGAATGACAACGATCACCTCTAACTTGTGTTTGCAGCTCTGGGGTTCAGATTGCAGGCCTTGTGCATGGTAGACAAGCACCCTATCACCGAGCTACATCCCCAACCCCCATTTTTTTTTTTAGCATAAGTTCTCACTATGTAGTCCAGCTGGACTTCCTCCTACTTTGCCATAAGATTCCAGGTGGGCACCATCATGCCTGCCTGACTTTTTTAAAACTCTTAGTGACCCTCAAGAGTGGTTCGTGTAGGTGAGTTTCTGCAGGGTGGCATTTGAGAAACTCTGGGAAGGTCATAAAAATCTAGAGTTTAGTTTGGATGCATTGTCCCAGCGACTGACATTCCACTACAGGAAAGTCACTTATCTATATACTTAGGGCTTCCCGAGTCTTCTTAAAGATTGTCAAACACTCAGCAAAGTATCTTTCCTCCCAGAGACAAAGTCACTGATGTTCTGGGTCTAGGAACGGGATTAGATAAGGAGGAGCCAGCTACCACAAAGCAAAAAGGAACAAAGGGGAGAGGCCATGGTTATTTCAAAACCAAAACACCTGAGAACAGATGCCCTTATCTGGGAGTGTGCAGACAGGTGAAGCCAAGCAGTGTAGAGCCCGATGCTTACCCCTCTGGTACCCCCTCTCCAGAACAACACATCGGAAGAGAGAAAAAGAATCCAGGGCAGCAGCTACTTTGAGGCTAAGACAGAGTGCCTAGGGTTAATGTCGGTAAGCCGCTGACTTATCCCGAGGGGAGATTTTTAAGTGGTGTGTTGGAATTGAAACCTGTATCCAGGCAAGCATTGTTTCGAGCTTAGGCTCCAGAATCGATTTTACTCTGAAAATTAAACCCATCTGTAAAAGAGGCGAGTCAAGAAGGACATGCATAGCCCTGGGCTCTCAACCAGAGTCACCGAGGTTACATCTCCTCCCTGAGACTCTCAGGCCTCAGAGCGTCTCTCTGTTGCAGTTTGTGCCCGTGCACCCCTTGATGCGCCTGGCTGCCAAGCTCTCCAGCAGAAGGATGAAAAGATTGCCGCATCCAGTAGGTGCCTGTTTCCTCCCTCCATAGTACTAGACACGACGGTAAACGTGTGAAGTCACCCTGTCTTGCTCATTTTTGTTCTCTCCTTGAATCCCAATATCCAGTTTGGTAGGGAGAGCTGTGTGGTCCCCTAACCTTGACTTTCCAGGCTGTAACCCTATGCTGTTGTGACTGGAAGGGCCAAGGGAGATGCCCTGTGGTTCAGCCCCATCCAATCCTGTCCCTCCTTTTCTTTGCTTGGTTCATTTTGTTTTTGTTTTATGTTATTTTTCAATTCTGTCCTTTTGTTTCATCATGGAATTTGCCCTGGTGATGTTCCTGCTTCTGCCTGCTTTAAGTTACTTCTTTTCCCTTAAGTTCAGTAAGGACACTTTCAGTAATAGCTGATCCTGTACAAATTATTAATCAAAAAAAGAACTATTAATGAAGGTTTTATGTATGACAGCAAAAAATTAATTTAAAAAATTTCTTTTGGCTATCTTGAGTCCAGCTATAGCAGCCGACATGTCCTGTTTGGTCCAGAAACTTCCTAGATTTAAACCCAGTAGTTCTAAGACTTCGGGAAATTTCTGAGTCGCTAGAACACTGCCTGATCTCCCTGATGCCTGCACACGGGCTTCCCGCTGGGCTCTAACTCCATTCTTAAACCAAGTTATAATGGAAAATGAGCGGAAGATGCTAAAATAACTTGACACTGAAAATTCGCTTAAATCAGAAGTACATTTCAGAGTTGGGTTTATTCAGAGTTGTGAGCAAATGAAACCCATTTAAATCCCACACTGCAACACTGGTTGAATGAACAAGCTTTCCTTCCAGAACCAGGAAGGGACACCATCACTCTAGGGCAGCGTGAGGTGATGGGTGTGATGCCCTGATGAATTAATTTATACATTGTTCCTTCACAGGATTCCGGGGCTGCTACTGTGGACTTTCCTAAGAAGGCATGTGAACCTCGTGAGAACACTGATATCCAGAAGGTTCTAGAAAAAAGGGCAAAGATGTGGCTGGAACCTGTAACTCTTCCAGGCCCATTTAGATAGAACAGATCTCCTGAGAGGACACTGAATATCTTCTCTAAACATTGAAGTTGGGGGTCCCTGGGCTTGTCCTGAGGTAGAAAGTGATTATGGAAATATGGAGTGAGTGTTAAACATGGTGAATATTTCGTTTCTAGACTCACAGGTGAGTCACCTGGGCCATTTAATACTAGGGACTTGTCCTCTCTGGTTCAGGGACCCACATGCCATTGTGCAAACTTAGAGAGAGGACAAATAGTTCAGCCAGTGCCAATCCCATAGACCAGTGAATCTCAGACTTAAGCATGTCTTAGAATCTGGTTAAATTGGGATAGCTGGGCTCTTCCCTGAGATTTAGTAGGTCTGAGATGGACTTTGAGAATTTTCATTAATAACAAGTATTTCTGATATCTTTATGTTTGAAACCTTCTCCAAGGATGTTTCTTTGACTTAGACTGTGTTTCTGTGTTGCAGGGACCCACTTCCACCTGGGGGCGGCCATTTTTCCTTTTCAGGGTATGCCAGCTTTCCTTCTTCTGTTTCTAACTGCATTCCCTGTTGTCATCCCAACTGCTGGGACCAGATGGGCACTGCTCTTCTCCGTGCAGGGTGTGGTTCACCAAAAATTTTTACAAACTTGCAAGGGAAACAGAGCAACAAGGCATAGACTGGGCATGTCTGTAGTCTAGGAGCTTGGAGGTCAAGGGGGAAAGACTTCTGTTGATGCACAGATACTGGGTAAACCAGAGTCCACAATCCCAAGCAGATGTGTGGCCTAAAACCACACTGGCATGAGGAGTCCAGGTGCCATATTCCTTCCCAGGTGATAGAAAGGTCCTTGTTAAAGTCATGGAGTTTTCAGTTTTGCTCTATTCGCTAACTGCACACAAGGCCTCAGCTTCTCAATATTTGCATAAAAGTATGAGTGAGTCAGACTTAATCCATGACTACTCTTAGTTGTAGTCTGCGAATCATGGGTGCTAGTATCCTGCAAAAAAAAAAAAAAAAAAAAAGACAAGATGAGAAGATGCAACACTTAGTCTTTCTGACGACCCACAGCACACTGTGGCCCACTCAGGACTCTGGGAAATGGCATGGAAAACCCCACCAATGTTCTTTGTTTCCCTAACCCCTAACATCTCGGTCCATGGGAATCTTTATCACCTGTCCCCAGTTTCTACCTTTTTCATTTTCCTGACCTTCAAAAGTGCTGTTTTCTGGAAAGAACTCTGAGAAGCAGTAGATCACTGTTACGTCTCCAGGCTGAGAAGTCTGGAAAGTAGACGGTCTCCTCATGAGCTAAATCTAAGGAGGAGGTGTGATGGAGAATAGGGGCCACGTTCCTGGGAACAGTGAGAGCCTAGATCATTGCCCAAGAGGATGGATGTGGACTTGCTTTGTAAGTCTCCAATGATGGGAGTGAGAGCTCAGTTAGAAAAACAAGGCCATTGTGTCCAGTAGGGAAAAATGTCCAGGAAGTTGTGTCTCGGTGTTTATAAGACTTTCTTCCTTGCCCTTGCTTTTTTTTTTTTCTTTCAGTCAAGGAATGGAAGATACATTAACAACAAATTCCAGTAGACAGAGCAAGGTTAGTTTCGTTGTAGATTTTCTCTTCCAAGCAAACATTCTATGTCTGACCTGGAGGTGATGGAGGCAGAAGGTGGGATTTCTATTGTTCAAACAAAGGACTCGGCCTGTCCACAGCACAAAGAAGTCCACCCCACCTCCCCACCATCCAATCTGGAAGAAGCAGACTCTTCCAGCTGTGTTACAGCCTCTGCTTTCACAATTGGCTTTGAGAAGTTTGTCATTTTTGGATAGAGTTGTGCTAGAGATTAGGTCTCATATGACCCAAATGCTCCCCATCCTTCACATTTGACCCTTCCAGTGAAGAAAACACTACCCTAGTGTGTTGAGGTGGTACTCCAAGGAGGCCTTCAGGCAGGGAAGTTCATGCATAGGGGCAACTCTAGACTGATCTGTCTCTCCTGAGGACCTGGCCTCATGAAGATATGAGCATTATCTGTTGCCAGCATCAGAGTCTTAGGAGTCCAAGGTGCCTGAGGAAGCTGCCATCGCCCTGGGAGATGGAACTGTCCAGCAAAAGCAGGAGTAAGGTGTTGCTCAAGGCCAAAAGATTTATATAAATCCAAAAAAACTAGTTCAATACCAAAGATAAATATCTATACTATTAAATATAAATATCTATAAATATTTTCTGTCCCACCAGCCAGCTCCCAAATAATGGCACAAAGACTTCTTATAAATTAGGAAAGCTCAGTCTTAGCTTAGGATTGTTTCTAACTAGCTCTTATAACTTAAATGAACCCATTTCTATTAGTCTGCAGGCTTCCATACAGCTCATAGCTTTTACCTTTCTACATGTTCTGCTTCCTCTGCATTTGGCTAGCGACTCCCCCTTTCTTCTTCCTAGTGCTCTCTCTGTCCAGAAGTCCTGCCTTTAACCTCTGCCTAGTTTTTTTAGACCATTTAGCTTTTTAATAAACCAACTATGGTGATATATTTTTACATAGTGTCATCAAATATCTTGCAACAAATACCATAAAGACTACTTGCAAGAAAAACAATGTTGGTGCTTGTGACGTGCCACATCACTGTATAAGTGTAGAATATGTCTATCATGACTTGTATCTGGGCCTCATCTTGATCCTGATGGTGGCTGCACTTACACTGAACACATGTTCTGTTTTGCAGGATTCCGATGGAACAGGAGAGTTTGGAGCTTTGGAGGAAATGCCGAGTTACTTCATGTGTCTATTGAACAATATTTCTGTGGTCCTATCATCTCCAGAATACTTAGTTGTATAAAAAGTAAATCAGCACTGATACAGCATCTTTATTTTTGTTGGAAGGCTGTGGGAATAGGCATATTACATGAATAATAGATTTCTGAGAAATTACTGACTTGGGAGTGAAGCTTGATAACTGAGCACATAGATTTAGGATAAGCTAAGATCCTGGTGTCAGATCCTAACTCTCCCTTTTAGCTGGGTGACTCTGATGTGATTTGCTCAGATTTCTGTTTCTGTAGTAAATACCTGGTGTGCATTACTTCAAAGGAGAGAAGGTTCGTTTGGGGTCATGGTTTCCTACCACGTGGTCTTCTCTGCCTATTGCTTTGGCTCTGTGGCTTCAAAGTTCATCATGATGAAAAGGAAAGGGCCAAACCACTGGCTCTAGAGTCCCAATGTCCAAGTTTAAATTCTGGCTTGAGATCTTGCTCAAGTTACTTAACCTCTGTCTTTGCTCTGTCCCCAACTTAATCTCCTCACCTTTGGAATGGGATAGCAATAATACCAACACTCATTTAGTGCCTTCTTTGTGTAATTTAAATAAGGTAATGTATACAAAAGGCTTAGCATTGTAATATCACATAACAATGAATAAATATTAGCTACAGATAATAATAATAATAATGTCTAAAGCAGTGATTCTCAGGTGGTGGGTAACAACTCCTTTGGGGATTGAACCATTTCGGGGTCAAATGATCCTTTCCCAGAAGTTACATACCAGATTTCCTATATATCAGATATTTATTGTCAGAGACAAGCTTCAGCAAGTATACCACTTACCAGGGTAGGAGCATGGAGATTAGAAAAATAAGTAAAGAGAACGAATATGCGAGTGAAAATAATAAAACAGAAGCATAGGATAGTATCCGGAGAGAGTTCCAGTGAATACTGAAATCACCCATGTTTAATTTTCCTTACACTTTTATACGCCAATACAACAGGGAGAAGAAGACAAAAGAAGCCTTAACATTATACAAAGGACAACTAGAACAGTTACTTGCTTCAATACTTTGAGACATCAAGTCATTAATTCTTGAGAGAAAAGCGTCCTGTTCTTTATGCAATGAACCCACCCTAGACCAAGTATCCTGAAGGCAGCCACTCCCTAGGTCAAACTTTTCAATTCAAAAAAAAAAAAAAAAGC